TGAAGAACTCCTACAAAACTAGGATGAACCTCATCAGAATAGAACTACCGTAGATGAAAGTGATTCACCAGCCACGGAGCCCCTCCTTTCTGAGGTCAGGCGAAAGTGCCCACAATCTTGTTCGCTGCGGACGCTAGGGCGTTCCGGGGCGAAAGGAGGGGGGGGGAGGTCGGTTTGGAGCGGCGTCAGTCGTTTTCCACAAGTTGTGGTCGCCTGCCAGCCTCCTCAGATAGAGAACGGGTCGGCCCGTCGCCAAATCCGGACCACCTGACGCGCCGCAGAGACCGCAGCCAATAAAACGGTCCCTCCATTATAAAGTTCGTAGTTTGCATACGAAGCCCTTTAAATGCTTCCTCCAAGGTTTTTACCGCTAAGTTTCATGTCATAGAAAGGCGACAAGTTAGGCGCCTCACTCCTGCGCCATCTAATCACGGCCCCAACTTGCTGAGCCACAAGAGGGCTCACGAAGAGAAACCGATCAGTTACCGCTGAAGAGGCTCAATTAATTATGCGGTGGTGTCGCTGAATTACTCTTAATGGCTAATTTCCATGTCTGGCAACGAGGTTCTCAAGGATACGTCGTAGGTTTTGCTGTTTAGTTCCGTTTCAGAGAACTACTAAGCGCTTCCCGTTCCGTCTGTCAGAGTGTTACTAATAACCCACAAGTGTCGTTCTCTCAGCTCATTTGGTGACTTCTATACTTCAGCGTTTTTTCCCTTGTGCCCGTAATTGGACTCCGCAATTACTGGCTGCGAGGGAATTCATTACTCTCTGGTGATTTGATGCAGGAGTTCATAGCCCAACTTGGAGCTATTCTTAGCCGCTGGCGTCATTGCGATGTGGGGAATTGGCCTCCGTTGTTCATCGTGATCCCTCTTCACCGATTCTCTCGCCCCTATGACCCTGATGCCGTGCTTTCGCCATTCTCCTCTCCTAACTTCCACGACGGAACAGGTCGTCGGGGAGGGAGAGAGCGCATGGAAGAGGATGCTGAGAATACTGCCCTCGGAACACTTGTAGGTCTTAGTATTTCTACCTGAAATTCCCGGCTTCCAGACACCTCAGTGCAAAAAAAGGAACAACTTCCCTATTTTTCCTTTTTTCCTAGAAACCTCTAGCAGGATTTTCTTCTTTCCAGTGGATTTCCAGTATTGGGCAGGAAGCAAGAGACATAGACATTGTGAAGACAGGGAGGGACCATAGACTAACCATAAGAGTGAGAGAACAGCAGAAGGAAGAGGCGCCAGACGCGGCGTTACACAGACGGAACACACCAAACCGTTCATCTCTGCGTGACTGTTGGGTTACCATGGCATGACAGCATCAGGAGCTCTTCCAAGTCATGAAAGGGCTACAACCTCCGCAAATTTGGACCGAGTTGTCTTGCACAAGGAGGGGGAGGAAGGCTCTGCAATCAGATATCCACGGAATGGGTCCTTAAAAGAGCATTCCGCAGGTGGAGGGGGGGGGGCAACAATGCGTGATATAAGGTTTAGCAATGACACTGTAAATTTCAAATGATCCTACTGTGAAGAGCTCTACTTCGTCCGCTGTACTTTGAAGTACAGCTGGAGCTAGAAGACGTGAAGCGCAGATGTAGCGCAGCCCACGTACTTCACCTGTTAATAGATAGATGACACGTCACTGACGTCACATAACACGTCAACGAGTGTATGACGTCATTGACAGGGTGCAACACAGGGTGCCACATCGCTAACATGTTCCGACCCCGTCATCTGCGAACTTTTAACAGGCATCGTTATTATGGCACACCTGCGCCAGATGTGTGAGTAGGGCAGCAGACCTTTTATCCTTCAGTTAGTCTGATATCAAGAATTTTTATCACTTACGTGTCCACACACGGTGTCAATTGTCCTTGTTTCTCACATGAACGATTGGCAGCCGACCAGAACCCGACGGCGAATTGCGTGCCGTCGCGACACCTGTCCGCCGTGACCGCAGATGTGCATTCACTGCGGCCACCTGGGAATACGTCACAAGTCCAATTGAGCTGTCTGAATGAGCGTCGCTGATATTTTGTCATCAATTGCTGAAGGAAAAACTTGCCTGTTATAGGAAGACGACTGTGAAGGAGGCAGGAGAGAGTCGAAGTCTTCGTCGGTGAGGTTTTCCACACGAGGATAAAAGGATTCAATGAAGGTGGGATAGCCACCGATTATTCTTAGGAAATGCTGGCTGAAACATGCACAATCAAAAGGGTGGAAGACGGGGCACGCCGCACATGGAGGATTCCCAGCGAGGGGGTCGTATTCGGTTGCTGGGGGAGGGGAGTGGTATTTGTCGGTTGTTGAGTTTTCTGGATTTTCCCCGTTTCACATGCGCCATATACCGCCACGCACTTACTGCGGCTGGGAGTTTAGAAAATTACGACCTTCCTCCCTGTGAATTCCCTCTTCTGCTTCCCTGCATCCTACCCTTTATCCCAGTTCATGAAAATTTCTCCAGTTTCCCCTCAAACATTGCCGCTGAGCAGGAAAGGGGGTGGGTTGGAGGTCATCACCGAAAAACTATTATACTATCAAAAAGGACAGTTGTACAGACTTCGGTTGGCACCACCAGCTAGGGGTGCAAGGAGAGGGGGGATATACAGCTCCCCCAGCGACGAGCAAATGCGACCCTCTCACACTGAAGGTCTCCGAACGATATAGACAGTGTGTAGATGATTTATGAAAAAAATCATCTATCAAAAACATTTCTCAGGCTAAATACGACACCCCCCCCCAAGCTGAGGATTCCCCAGTGTTCGAAGTGCCTGGATGCCCTTCCCCTGCAAGACGGAAGGTTTTCGTTCAAAAACTGACAAAAAGTAGTTTGAGACAACATGAAATCTAGGGAGATGGCAGGTAGGATGGGGGACGGGAGGGGAGCTCGAACATGAGGAGGAACTTTGGAGGGATCCGCTATTTTCCAAAATTTCCAGCCCCAGCGAGCAGAGACATGCCCGTGGCTCAAGTCCTGGCCTCATAGCCTTTCAACTCATATATTGGCCATACAAACATAATTACTGGTTACGAATCATGACAACTCACCTGATGTTTAAAGGTATCTCCCATTCGGCAGATACGGTAGTGACAAGATGTGCGACTACGTACAGTACCCGAATCGATAGCATAATGACCGATTACGCTAGTAGATAGAGGATCCCACATGACAAAAAGAGGACCATGATGAATAGTGACGGGAAGATGATGAAGTCCATTTCACAGTCAGCTGCTCGTCAAGGGTCTCGGAAATGATTCTGAACCTTACTGGCCCCGCCCCCAACTCGTCACCTACCATTTGTCGCTATGGAAACGCCCACTCAACAACAAATCAACTGGTTTGGAGTGGAGTGAATTCAAAGTTTGCAAAGCAGTTGTAATGACGTTTGCACATACATAACGTCAATAACAAGTAGGCAGCTAGAGGGGCACAGTGAGCATTGTTGAACGCTTTAAAACGCGCCGGCTACATACGCGACATCCTGAGGCCGTACGCCAAGCGACCGCGACGCGTGCAAAGCGGCTACGGCCTGGTTCGAATTTTTGCCAGGTATTGCTGTGCTCGACTTTCTTGTTGTTTACGCTTGTTTTTAAATAGGTTTCTTTCACAGTTTGTCTTCATCTCTGTGGGGGTGCCAGTACAGATGCTTCTTAGGTTCTTTCAGGCGAAGTTAGAATTACCGCTCTTCGCGTGTTTTCCTGAATTGAAGCAAGTTGTTATGAGAAAACAACATGTCTTTTGAACAAGGGTCGCGTCTAAATCGTGCGTCTCTTGCTCCATCGAAAAATTATCGTTCTCATAGACTCTAGATGATTATTTCTGTTGAATTAGTCAGTGCAGTTCTCTTGATAATTACCAATGCAGTCCACGCAACAGAATTTTGCATGCACTTGAAGAAACTTGCGCCATAACCTCTTTTTGCTAAGAATAAACTCACCAGTATCAAAGAATTTCATTTCGAAATAATTCTGAGCGCTAGTCCAGTTACAGGGCCTTTGTTAGTGCGGAATGTATACATTCGGAATGATAACCGCTAAAACTTTTCTTTTGGAACATAACTAGTTAGGCTGGTAATATTTGCGCAGGCGTAGAGGAATAAGTCCTCTGGGGTTCGAGCACCGTCTTTGCGCCCTAGCGTAAGACCAAAATTCCCATCTCGCAGCTTACAGTCGTCTCCTCACTTCTCCTAGAGCTAAAATGGGTCCAAAATAGTTTGAAAACCTATGATCAACCGGCCCAACTGGGCCTGGCGTTGATATCACCACAGTTTTACAATTTTTTGCGCACGGTTTGTGTCTTGGCGTGTATGAACTCGTGGCCTAGAATGCAGACAAAAGCCACACTCTTAACCACTCGCTATGCTTACTCTTTCAGCGGCGAGCATAGTATATCGATTGTTTTGAGCGTTTCCCCAGGTAGCTTGAACCTTTTGTGGGGTCCGCTGCCAAAACCACTGGCAATACCGCGTTTGAACGCTAGCCAATATTCTATATTTACTATCATCGAGCGTTTGCCGTAGCGCCACGACGCTTACATAAGCGCTTACGCAGAGTATGAACGCAGTTCCATTATTTTGCAGCACAGGAAAATCTTTATGATCACTCTAATTTGGATCTTGCACCAAAATGCTGGTGCACAGGACTAGCACAGAACTGACTCGTTTACGACTCTGTAAATGTAGAAGGATTGCCAGTCAGCAGTTTCGCTGCAGTGCTTAGACAGCGTTTACTTTTCAAGTGGGGGGGGGGGAGCTCAGGGTGGGTGAGAGTCATTGTTCAAAAGTTGGCTTGTGGATGGCTCTACCCTGAGGTCGCTTTCTTCCCTCCCCCAACTCCCAAGAATTGCAGGTAACTTTCGCTGATGCAGAATTGCAGACTGGTACCACTTGTACGATTATTCATTGACCCTCCTTTTCTACCACTGAGTTTTGTTCGTGTTTTTTAACGAGCCATTTGTCAGAATCATTACGCTTTTTTTGAAGTTCTAGGTCTTTAACCATGACGATCAGCAACGCAACGTATGGACCGCGTCCACAATCGTTCGCGATGGACGACTCGGGGGAGCGCTACTACATAGGTACGCTAACATGCAAAGATTTTATCAATCCATGGCTTTTGGAAGGATCTAATTGCCCTTCTTGGTATTTTCTTGCATCCATTGTGCGAGTTCCTTTACGCAGTAATTTCAGGTTCCGAAATAGGTGCGTATCTCAGACTTCATAGAGGTACGCTCTACAAGAAATATCCTGTCTTGTGGAGGAAAGTTGCAACGCTTGAAGATAAGGAGAAATTGCGACAGATTGCTCTCTCACAGGCGTTTATGCACACAAATATTATGTATGTATTATGTTTTATTAGACGCTTTTATGATAAAGGGACAAATGTTGACAGTATCCCCTTACAGAATGTGTTCATACTTTGCGGGAGCTTTTTGAGCGACTGGGAAAATATATGAAGGAATCGATTATCGCTGAACGGGGGAGGGGGTGGGGTGGAGTTCGAAGCTTGCGTCGATACCTATACTTTCCTAGCCGCTCAAAACGCTGACGCAAAGTATGAACGCGCTCCAAGAGCTACTTTGTTGATTTCATTGACGCTTTTCAGGCTGGTGAAAGCGCATGAGATCGACGAGTTGTTGTCTGGACAAGAAGAGAAATATCGCGCCGCTGGATCAACTCCTTCGCTCCCTAGAGTCGACTCAGGTGTGGTTAAAGGCGGGAAACCGAATGTACCGGCCGGTTGGATGGGTCAGCAGGTGAACATCATACCTTTTGTACATTTACTGCCGTGAGTAGCTATGGGGGTGCCTCTGAAAGCGTAAGTTATAGTTTTTTTTGTGAACAAGCAAAACCCTTTTTCGGGACAATAGGCACTTATTTTTGTCTTTCAACAATCTTATTACATATGGGGCATATGGGGAGTTTTTCGTTCCTGAGTCTGCACTCTTTTACGGCTGAGCTTGAGATGGGTGATGGGTCACTTCTCCACGCCGCTGCGTGTACCCCTCCCCTTCAACTTCAGGAGAGCCGTTTTTTGCCTTGCTGTCGAGTAGAGTTTGTACGATGTTGTCCGATAGACGGCACTT